CTGTCTATGTACAGTGACGATGACGTCATCAATGACATCAACATGATGTCATGGCTGATGTCACATTCACGTACAGCCCGTGTACAGTACGTGTGTACAGTGTTTCCGGCGTGAATAGTAAGGCGGTGAACAGTGTTTCCAGCAGTGAACAGTAATTTCGGCGATGAACAGTAAATTTCAAAAATTTTCTATAAAAAGGGGGTATCACACAAAATTTTCATTTCTTCACTCCTATCCAAGGTTCTCAAAGGTTCTAAGGCTATATCTCACCATTTTCTCCCATACTAAACCTCCTAAACTTAGATTTTTCTTCATATCTGTGATTCTACGTCCATTCTAAAGAATTTCAAGTAAGTTTCTCTAAGTTTGAAGTTAGATTTACCGTTCGTTTCTCTTCTTCTTCTTCTTCTTCTTATAGATGTTCATGATGTTCTTAGAAAAAAATCCATTCTAGAATTCAAATCTTCGGTTAAATCTTTGTAAAAACCCCTGTTTTGAGGTAAGGGGGGCTCTATTTTATCATTTTGTTATGTTTATTACTTGTATTCTCATAGATCTTGTCATGTATGTGATTATATGTGGAATAATCCTTGCTTTATGAGAAATAATCGATGAAAAGTGATAATAATTGGCTGTTTATGTGATTTTATGATGAATACATGGTGAAAATATGATATTATGTTCAAATAGGGCATGATAAGGTATATTGAGAATGGTTGATATGATTTTATGATATGAAATAAACAAAGAGATGGATGTTTCATGTTTCAATATATTGTGTTTCATGTAACAATGATATGTATTGTGAATATGCTATGATTTGATGAAAAGTATGTGGAAATATAATGAAAAATATGTGTGAACATGAGAAATGACATATGTGAACATGTGAATATACTCGAAAGTGTATAAGATGGAAAAGGATATGGTGTAAATAGTTACAGAAATACACTGGGGGAGTAGAAGATGGAGACGATATGATATATCTTGGGGAAATGTAGGGTGGTGAGTGACATTCGGGATTGTGCATGGAATATTGTGTTCGAATGCACCACATGGCCGCACACTCGTTTCCCGACTTGACTCCTGACCATTACCTTTGCTAAGAGACTATCTATTGCATGCATTGTATTCGTATTGCATTGGGCCATCCGGCAACTATTTACATGGATGTGTAAGATCTTGGAATAGAGGCATCGGATAACTGTGGCCACAGGGCGCGGTAAGCGCGGATAAAAGTAAAAGAAATTGTGAATCTGTGAAATATAATATGTGTTGAGATGAGAATATGCTTTATATGACATTGTGATATGTAATGCCATGATGTTTTCTTTAATCGTGATAAGATGTGTTTTGTGATGAATATGTGTAATGTATGAGTGGTAGGGTAGAGACTCACCCTTATACAACATTTTTCAGGAAATCAGAACGAATAGTACCAGGCTCACAGTGCATGGATGGATGAGAACTGCTATAGGATTTAGTTATTTTGAGTTATGTAATGAATATTTTCAGTTCTATAACATTCTTTTGAAATAGTTGTAAAACTATTATTTCTTTTTGTTGTTGATGAAAATTCTAGAATCTTTGTTTTTCTAAAGTACTTATGATTTAATGAAATTTTACTCTATGAACCTTATATCATTTCAATGTCTCTTTTTCTTATTAGAAAATTTTTGAAGGAAAATTTACTTTACCATATTAATTTTTATGAAAATTTATCATATATTGAGGAAAGAAATATAAGGTGTTACACCTACTGCTTCTCCAAATTCTTGATATAATTTGGGAAGACATTTCATTAGATTTCATCACAGGATTGCCATGTTTGAAGGGGTTTGAAACTATTCTAGTGGTTATTGATAGGTTGACCAAGTATGCTCACTTCATTCCTTTGAAACATCTTTATATAACTAAGGAGATTGTTGGAATTTTTGTCAAGGAAGTAGTTAGATTTCATGGTATTCCCAATTAAGTAGTGAGTGATTGAGACCCTTTGTTTATGAGTCATTTTTAGAAAGAATTTTTTTTTATTACAAGGTACAACATTAAAGATGAGTACCGCTTACCATCCTCAAACGGATAACCAAACGGAGATGATTAATTGGTGTCTTAAAACTTATTTACATTGTTTCATCACTTATCAACCTAAGGGATAGGTCCAACGATTGCCATGGGTGGAGTATTGGTATAACACTACATACCACAATTCAATAGCTTCTACTCCTTTTGAGTAAGTTTATGGCAAAAAAAACCTTGTATTGTGGTTAGATGCATGCAAGGAGAAGTTAGAGTAGAAACTGTGCAACGTGAAGTGATGGACCGTGCTAAAGAACTTAGACAATTGAAGAACTACTTAGTGAGAGTGCAAGATAGAATGAAAACTCAAATTGATAAGTATCAATAGAAAAATAGTTTTTTGGTAGGAGATTGGGTTTTTTTGAAAATAAAACCACACAAGCAGCAATCTGTCATGACTTGGATCTATCCTAAAATTTTAGCTAGGTACTATGGACCTTTTGAAGTGATGGAATGGACTAAAGCAGTGACTTACTGATTGAAACTTCCCCCATCTTTGAAAATACATCTCGTGTTCTATGTGTCACTCTTCAAGAAGGAAATTGGTGATTATGAGGTGTAAGCTAAATTACCTGCTGATTTAGAAGATGGTGGTGCTAAACTGATGGAACCACTGTCGGTGTTAATAGCTTGAAGCATTATTAAGCATGGTGAAAAGGTGAATTAATGGCTAATATATTAGTTTGACAGGACAACAGAGGAAAGCACATAAGAAGATGAAGTGATTAGTAGAAGCCAATTTCATAGCCTTAGTTTGAGGATAAGACTGTTATTGAAGAGGAGTATTGATGGAGCCCATAAGGGAATTGGGCCAAAGGAGCCTCTAGTCCACAAAGTGGGAATTAATCCTAAGGCTTGAAAAGTTTACGTATACAAGAAGATGAGGGACATGACCTGAATAATGAGAAGATGATTAGAGGAGAGAAAGAGAGTAATTCTCTATATTTAGAATGATGAGTATACATGGGGAGGGAGCTCATTTTTCTGTTTTGGCTAGATAATTTCGGATAAGATAGGAAATTCCTTGTCAAACTCTAGATAGATGAATTTTTTTTTTGTAATTTTTCTTTATTACAAATAATATAATAAGATGTACTGTATTTCCTTCTTTAATTTTCTCTATTATCTATATTGTGAATTTGGTACGTATAATTTTGATTTATCGCGATATTATTAAATATAAGTAATTAAATATACTAAAAAGTAAATATACAACTAGGATGAAATATATTTGACATGCTACATAAAAAATGCTAATTAATCTTCGTCCATCACAGACTTGTGAAAGGGCTTTTGTCTTGAACTAAAAATTCAAACATATTGGACAACATCACATGAAATGGAGTAATGGACTATTTCCTTTGTATCCTTCACAGAATATCTTGTAAGGGTTATATCCATTAATGTACTAGGACCTCTTCCTACTACTTAACTCAAGCATGCTTTTGACTAAATCATAAGATTTTACTCATTATCTAGTCTTATCTTGTTTATTGTTCTTATTCGTGTAAGTACTTCTGACAAGACTGTCTTAACTCTATGTTTATATTTATTAACTTTTATTTATTAGATTATCCATTACATTAATTCTAAATCTTGAATTTATTTAAATTTAATTGAATGATTTTACAAAAAAATTATTACTATGGAAATATCAGAATATTTTTTAATTATTTTTGATTAATTAATTGGATATATTCAAATTATTTTTTAACTAATTGTTAAATTTTTATTATATTTTATTTTTTTACGAGAGTTACATATCTATATAAAAAGGGACTATGGTTTCGTTTTTGAGTAAAAATATTTTTTTTCTTTAACAAAAGTTTTTTTTTTGGAATTTTTGGTATATTTTTGTTCTTATGCTTACTAATATATATTAGAAGAGTATTTAAATTCTAAAAATCTTTTGTCATACTTAAAGATAAATAATTCTTGAAAACAATATTTTCACATGTCTCACGCTAATATTTTTTTTTTCCTGTTTTTTAATAAGGACTCAAAACTTTATTTTTTTCTTAAGTTTTGTTTAAAAATTAATTTTTAAAAGAAAAGAAAAGGAAAAAAAAATCTCATGATATTTAGACATAGTATTTAGATAAGAAAAAGAAAATTTATAAATCTTTTAAAATTTTCTTAATTTTATACTTTTTAAAATCTCCTAATTTAAAAAGTTTCATATTAATCCCTTTTTTTTTTTCCATATCTTTCAAACTTTTCTTATTTTTTCTTCTTCCAAATTTTTAAAGAAAGCCTTAATTTCATACCGGCCTCGTAAACTCAGCAATAGAATTAGCAACTATGTGTTGAGCTTATAATTTTGTTTCAAAATAATGCATTTTCAGGGTTCTATGTTCCTGTTTCCAAATTTAAGGATTTGTGGCAACTCCTTTTGTATGTGCATCTCAATTTTAATTTGAAATACTGAGTGAAGCTACAAAATTGGCGGTAGATACAAATTGGTTGGTTCCATATACATTAATTTTATAGCTAAATATACATGTCACATGGTCCATCCTAGAATCATCTTCTCCGCAAATGTAATGTATGACAGGTGGAAAGTTGATAATAATTTTCTGTGAAGGAGTGAATGTTTTTCTTTAAAACAAAATTGTAATTTCAGGTTGGACAACTTTATTAAATATTATATATTTATAGTATAAATTTAAATATATTTTTATTTATATATTTTAAAATTTATTTTATTTTAATCTTTTAAAATATTTTTTAGTTTCTACTGTTGATTTGGTTCATTAAAATCTTGTTAATTACGTGTCAGTTTTTATTTAACTACGTGAGCTTTAAGAATACAAATTAAAAATTTATTAAAAGGGGGAGATTATAAAAAATTATTTAAAGAAATTAAAATAAAAAATTTGCTAAAATAAACGCATATTAAGTAATTACAATTGTGCCCCTTTCCTCGGTACATATATTAGCGGTGTCTTTCCCAAAACAGAAATTTACGCAGTGGAGCTCTATTAGATCAAGCGTTCTTCTATTTGGTGTTATGTTAATGATGGCAGAGCAAATTCCATTTGGTGTTGCTTCCAATCTCATTGACAGGTTCGTTTTCGCGTCTTTTCTTCAATTTCTTTCATAGTATGTTTAGCTTACAGATTTGTTTCTTTACTTCTCTTAGTTCATATTTTTGTTTTAGGGTTTTTTTAACATTTTTGTTATTTAAACTTTGCTTTGAATAATATCTCTTTTATTTTTATTAAAAAACTTTTAAAATATATTTGACATGTAAAATTTGCTATGTGCTGTTATTTTACGGTCTCTTCAGTTTTAAAACTCTTAGACAGCGACGAGCTTTAAAATATAAATTTTACAAAAATAAAATAAAATCTTACTATATGATGCAAAATTAAGGTCTAATATTTTTTATTTGATAATTTTTTATACTATTTTTTTTATCTGCTTTCTAGAGATATCTCTTTGATTGTAATTTTGAATCATCTTTTTGTTTTTGTTTTTTAAATTTGAACTTTTCTCCTTTTTTATTTTTTCTCCAAGGTAACTTTCTATCTTATTGTTTCCTTTTTGAATATTTTTTCCCTAATATTTAATACTTGAAATTTGTTTACTAATATTATTTTGTAATTAAGCGATGCTGTTTTGTACGAATTGTTTTAGTATGAATTTTGAGAAATTTTAAAAAATACTAAAGAAATTACTTTAGTGATAATAGATTGGATAGAGAAAAATGTTTTAATTTCTATTATTTTTAGAATTCATCAAGATGCTTCCTAAATTAACTAAAATATTATTTTAGTCCTCAGAATATGATTGTCCATCGTTTCTAGTCTTAAACGTATATAATCATTAACCATTTTAATTTCGATCATCACTTTAATGTTAATTGTCCTAACAAATAGCTAACTAAGCATATTAACTGCTAACTAGATATAATAAGTGACATTTAATGATATATATATAGCATTTACGCGTTATCACTTCAAGGGTTGTACTTTAAATAAATAATCATAATTTTTTACTATAAATATACCATTTTTATGGTCAAATATTTTATTTATAATCTCAGAGTATCCTCATTAAGATAAAATTATATTTTATTATTATTAAATTTTAGTTTTAGCAGAAAGATATTTATTAAAAATTAGTTTAATAAATAAAAATATTCAAAGTGTTTCAAAGAATAAAATAAATAATTTATAAATACGCTAAAATGTCAAACTTTACACAATGCCGCTGTATCTTCCTCTTGATGAAGCAGCCTTTTATAGTCTTTCTGAGCATTTTCAAATCTTATTGACGTGTCTCTCTCAAATGATGGCTGAGTCGGTTCCATATGGTGTTGTTTCAAATCTCATTGACAGGTTGGCTTCAGCTGAATTTCTTGAATTTGGACAGAAGTATGATGTGATGGAAGAGTTGGAAGAGCTTAAGAACACAATTGAATCCATCAACGATGTGCTCCTTGATGCCGATAATAAACAAGAACAAGCTCGCGTGCGAAATTGGATAAGAAGGTTCAAAAAAGCACTTCATTATGCAGATGACTTCATAGATGATCTTGCTATTGAGTATATGAGACACAACATGGATGCAGGACAAGGAAAAGAAGTGACAAAGGTACTTTATCCCCTTTCATCTTCAAATCGAATTGATTTTCCCATCCAAATGGCTGATGAAATAAAGAAAACACGAGAAAGTTTTAATGATGTTGTAGAAGACACGTTTAAATTGAATTTAAGCCCAAGAACTATGGTGGTTAAGCAAACTAATAGTGAATGGAGGGAGACAGATTCTGTGTTAGAATCAAATATTGTTGGAAGAAATGACAGTAGAAAGGAAATTATAACTTTGTTGATGGAATCACATAAAAACCAAAATATTTCTGTGATTGCCATTGTAGGCATTGGTGGTGTGGGGAAGACAACTCTTGCTCAATTAATATATAATGATTTGGGAGTGCAGAATTCTTTTGAAAAGCGAATGTGGGTGTCTGTCTCTGATAACTTTGATGTAAAGATCATTGTAAGGAAAATATTAGAATCATGTACTTGTAGCCAAATTGAAGACAAGTTATCATTAGACAACTTGCAAAAAATGCTACGTGAAGAATTAAGTGGTAAGAAATATTTGCTAGTCCTTGACGACATTTGGAATGAAAATGATAGCAAGTGGTCTAAATTGAGAACTTATTTGATGTTTGGTGCTCAAGACAGTAAGGTCTTAATGACAACTCGAAGTGAAATTGTAGCAAAGACAATGAGTGCAAGCACTTCCTATCATTTGAATGGTTTGACTGAAGAAGAATCTTGGAATCTGTTAAAGAACATTGCATTTGAGGATAATACCGAAGGATTGAATCAAAATCTAGAATTAATTGGTAAAGAGATAGCGAAAAAATGTAAAGGGGTTCCATTGGCAATTAAAACACTGGGAGGCTTGTTACGAGGACAAAATGAAGAAAGTGAATGGGAAGATGTTTTAATTGGTGACTTCTGGAAATTATCTGAAGAGCAAGACAGTATCATGCCAATTCTAAAACTCAGTTACCAAAACTTGTTGCCTGAAATGAGACAATGTTTTGCTTATTGCTCTTTATATCCCAAGGATTCGAAAATTTTAAGGGATGAATTGATTCAGTTATGGATGGCACAAGGTTACCTCAAATGTTCAACTAAAAAGAAACACATGGAAGATGTCGGTAATGAATTTATAAATATTTTTTTGATGAACTCATTTTTTCAAGATCCTGTCAAAAGTAGATATGGTGAGATCACTAGTTTCAAAATGCATGATTTAATGCATGATCTTGCAATGCTTGTTGCTGGCAATGATTATTGTTTCTTAGATGATAAGGCAGAAAATCTAGAAGGCAGACCTATGCACGTATCATTGGAATTCAAGGCCATTCATTTACTGAAATCATTAGATCCCAGCAGGCTACGAACTTTGATTTTGAGGGATGGCAATGAGGGAGAATTCTCTGTTATTTCAAGCTTTAAGTACTTACGCATCTTGAAGATGCCGTATTATTCTTTACTTGAGTTGTCTGATTCAATTGAAAATTTGAAGCATTTAAGATATCTCCAGTTTTTCCCTGAGGAAGGACAAATAAGTCTTTTCAAATCTATAAGTAATCTTATTTGCTTACAAACGTTAAAATTGGGTCGATACGACGATGAATTTGTTTCACAACTCGTCACAAAATTAGTCAATTTAAGATGCCTTGATATTGATATTGTTCCTTTGCGATCCTTAAGGGGGATGGCAGTTGGGTTGGGAAAATTGTCTTCGTTGCAATTCTTATCCAACTTTCTGGTGGGAGAAAGCCAAAATAGAAAATATGGCACCCTAAATGAATTGAAGGACTTAAACCTCAGAGGAGAATTAACAATTAACTATCTGAACAGGGTAAGAGACGCGACTCAGGAATCACAGGATGTAAATTTAAAAGAAAAAGATCTCCTTCAATCCCTGTGTCTAAAATGGCAAGATGAAGATGAAATTGATTACAGTGACAGCTCACAATTATTAAAAAACCTTCAGCCCCACCATAATCTTAAGCAATTGAACGTGCTGGGGTATCCAGGCATCGTTTTCCCAAATTGGCTTTCTTGCCTCACAAATGTTGTTGAAATCCAGCTGAATTGGCTTCTCAATTGCCGATGTCTCCCACCGTTGGAACGTCTCCCATCCCTGAAGTCACTTCGGTTAGACGGTCTTCATGAATTGGAATACATATATCTTGAAGATGGTTTTGCAGTAACATTCTTCCCGTCTTTGGAGATCCTCAAGTTACGTGGTTGTCCCAATCTTAGGGGATGGAAGAGACTTGGAGATGATATCATTGATTCACATCATCACTCCTTACCTCCGTTTCCTTTTATTTCCCAGCTACAAATCTCTCTCTGTCCAAAGTTGACTTGCATGCCTACTTTTCCAAATGTTGAGGATTTGTATTTGCATGCTTGTGGTGTGGAGCCATTAATAGCCACGTTAAACACAACTGCGTCAACATGTTCAGATGACTCGTCTTCCTACACTGCTCCTCTTTCCATGCTCAAACGCCTGTGCTTTTATCATCATCCTCTAAATTTACCAAAGCGTTGGATGCAAAATCTGACTTCTCTCGGGTTTCTTAAACTTGGATGGTCTGAAAGTGAAGCACTTGAGGAATTTGAAACTTGTTTTAATGACAACACCAACTGCCTTACTTCTCCACGACAAATAATCATAAGACTATGTAAAAACCTAAAGACTTTGCCAGATTGGATTTGCAACATCTCATCACTTGAGCATATCAAGATCTCCGATTGCCCAAATTTGGCATCGCTGCCCGAAGGAATTACTCGTCTTACCAACTTAAAGATCTTTGAGGTCAGGAATTGTTCGCTCTTACTTAAAGAATGCCGAACAAAAACGAGTGTTGTTAGCACCCAAATTGCACACATCCCAGAAATCATCCTTAGCGGTAAAGGTACGAGTAAATAAAGGTACTGATGCCCTTTTATGCCAACTTAATTAATTATTGATTATTGCACCTATCTGCTTTTCCAAAAAAATACTTCTTACTAGTATTGATTCAGTATTCATTTGTTTTAAATTTAGATTGAGATTTTTCTAATAAAATTGATTTTTATTTGTTAAAAATTATAGGAGTCTATGTCAAAATTGATATTAACCATTATATATTTAACTATTAATAATAAAATGAATAAAGCTCCTTCTATAAGTTAAATTTAACTTATACTTCTCTATTTTTTTAAAAATCACTTTTATTTAACTTTTCTAAAACTTGAAAAGAGAAACTAATTTTAACTTATCTAAGGAGTTTTATTCATTTTTTATATTATTTGTCATCTCTTACAAGGACTTATTTTTACTCAAACAGGGCCTTAATCAAGACCCAAATTATATAGAAAGAAAGTTAGGAACGTGTAAATATGTCTGTGAATTGATTATTGATGGAAAACAAATATGCATTCATTTGGTTCCTTCTACTTCATAAATGTACAAAATAAATAGTAGTTTTGTATAGTTTCAATTTCTATTGTTTACTTTTTTTCAATTTCTTTAGACTCTCATTCTTAATTTTGAATTGAAGGTAAATTTTTAAATTATAGTTTTAGCACGGAAGACTTATTTGTTTTAATATTTACAGGAGAAAATGAAACCAGAAAATGAAGAAGAGATACTGTATATTGAAGATTGTCTAAAATTGTTGGATTTCCATGATGTTTGGCACCACTTACTCAGGTAAAATTTTTAAGTGCCAAATAGTTACCCGTTTTTACTGTTTAACAACACACACTGTCAGACTTTGTTTTGCTCGAGATATTGGTAATTTTATAAGTAGGATAATCACCATCTATATCTTTTTCTATTATGATTTCATAATTTCCAGTTGTCAACAGTTTGTGGTGGTATTTCAAACAAAAATATATTTTCAACTTAGTTATGTATCTTTTGTGATTTATGAACACGTCAGTGCAAGTGTCTTTTATATCTTTTTCTATTATGATTTTGATAGGGTGCCAAATATGGCAAATACTATAAGGAAGGGTGATGAGCCTGTGTCTGGTGAAGGGACAGTTTTACAAAAGCTTAATGTGTGGAGAGTCTATACTAGGAGATAGAAAATGTGGCCAGGGAATAATGATTAGTTAGTTAGAGGGGAGGTGACGTGGAAGGAATCCAGGAAATAGGGAAAAAATATTGTGGGAGTGAGGTAGGCAAAAATATTGTGGGTTTTGCTAAGGAGAGTTTACTCTTTGGAGGAGTCAATTACTGATGCAGAATAGACAGCTAATAGCCTATTTTAGCAAAGCTTTGTCGCATAACAATATTAGCAAATCAGCCTATGAAAAGGAGTTAATGGCACTTGTGCTAGCTATGCAACATTGGAGGCCTTATTTGTTGGGTAGAAGTTTCGTATTCAGATCAAAAGAGTTTGGGGCATCTTTTACAGCAGCATATCACCATTGTGGCCCAACAGAATTGGCTGGCAAAGCTCTTGGGCTATCAGTTTGAGATTATATACAAGCCTGGTCCTGAGAATAAAGCTGTGGACTCCTTGTTTAGAATGTTTGAAGATGGCGAGTTAAGGCAGATTGCCTCTTTTTCCGTTTGGTTACAGGACCAGCACATTAGCAAGGAAAAAGAATCTTACCCTTTCTTGAAACAGGTGGAGCATGACTTATTGCAGGATGCTCATTCTCGTCCTGGGTTCAGTTTATAGCGAGGAATATTGTTATACAAGGACAGGTTGGTGCTACCGGAAACTTCGACTTTGATACCTACGATTTTGGTTGAATTTCACTCCTCTCCAGCAGGGGGGCATTCAGGGTTTTTGAGGATATATAAAAGAATTGCTGCCAACTTATATTGGATGGGTATGAAGAAGATGGTGCAGGACTTTGTCAAGCAGTGTGATGTGTGTCAATGCCAAAAATATGTTGCAACCTCTCCAGCCGGTTTATTACAGCCTTTGCCAATCCCAAATAGAATTTGGGAGGATATTTCTCTTGACTTTATTATGATATTGCCAAAATCAAAGGGGTTTGAAGCTATATTGGTGGTGGTGGACAGATTGTCTAAATATGGGCATTTTTTTATCCTCCTTAAGCATCCTTATACAGCAAGGAAGGTAACAGAAGTTTTTGCTAAAGAGGTGGTGCGGCTTCATAGTATACTGCAATCTATTGTGAGTGATAGGGACCCTTTGTTCATGAGTTTGTTTTGGCAGGAATTATTTTGTTTACAAGGGACCAAGTTAAAGATGAGCTCTTCATATCATCCAGAGACTGATGGCCAAACGGAAGTAGTGAATAGGTGCTTGGAAGCCTATCTCAAATGTTTTGTCTCAGACCAGCCTAAAACTTGGTCTCATTGGGTTCCATGGGCGGAATTATGGAATAATACCACATTCCATGTATCCCCTGGTACGATCCCTTTTGAAGTGGTTTATGGGAGGAAACCACCTACATTGGTGCGGTTTTCACAAGGGGAGACACATGTTGAGACCATGGCAGCAAAATTGGTGGATAGAGATGAGGCTTTGCGATAGCTACAGTATCATTTACTGCGTGCACAACAGCAAATTAAAAATTTGCTGATAAGAAGCGTAGATTTCTTGAGTTTGATGTGGGTGAGTGGGTATTCATTAAGCTGCGCCTTCATAGACAGCAAACGGTAGCACGCTGGATTAATCCCAAACTCGCTCCACTCTATTATGGTCCTTTTCCTATAATAGCTAAGTTAGGAGCTGTCTCTTATAAAGTGAAGTTGCCTGATACAACTAAAGTACACCCTGTGTTTCACATTTCACAATTAAAAAAAGCTATGGGAAATTATGCGGTTGAATCATCTCTGCCAGCAGAATTGGAGGTGGAATCGGATGACATTGAAGAACCAAAAACTGTGTTGGCATCAAGAGAAATTGTTCAAGGAGACTAGTAAATTAAGCAATGGTTGGTGAAGTGGAAAGCTATAACCAAGGATGAGACAACGTGGGAGGATGAAGCACTGCTCCAAAGTCAGTTTCCTTCATTCTGCCTTGAGGACAAGGCTGTTGCTGAAAGGGGGGGTGATGATAGGGTGCCAAATATGACAAATACTATAAGGAAGGGTGATGGGCCTGTGTCTGGTGAAGGGACAGTTTTACAAAAGTCCAATGTGTGGAGAGTCTATACTAGGAGACAGAAAATGGGCGGGGCCAGGGAATAATGATTAGTTAGTTAGAGGGGAGGTGATGTGGAAGGAATCCAAGAAATAGGAGAATTTTGGTATATGGGGAGAGAAGGGAGTGGGAGTGAGGTAGGCAAGAATATTGTAGATTTTGCTAAGGAGAGTTTACTCTCTGGAGGAGTCAATTACTGACTCTGGGAAATCTACCTTAGCATTGTAGAGCTTGAGCTCTTTTACTCAGTTTTACTGCATAATCTGATTAATAACACAACATATATAATTTGTTTTTATCAGATTTCATAATTTCCAATTGTCAACAGTTTGTGGTGGTACTGCAAACAAAAATATATTATCACCAATTGTCAACAGTTTGTGGTGGTACTGCAAACAAAAATATATTATCAACTTAGTTATGTATCTTTTGTGATTTATGAACACATCAGTGCAAGTGTCTTTTATATTCTAATAATTTCTCTGATATTTCATCTTATGGCTTAGAGGCTCATGCTAAAGCAATATCTGCTTCAGTATTTTACAGGCTTCCTGAATAGAACAAATGCAAGCGTGTATTACATGGTCATTCATATGGTGGAGCAGCAAGCTTAATTCCTGGCCCCCTGTTCAATATATCACCTTATATGTATTTGGATTTTAGAGAATTTGCTTATACTAATTTCCTCATATTCTACTAAAGTAGTTGGATATTCTCACAATTTTGAGAGATTGCTGCTTAATCTCCTTCAAAAGAAAGTTTGAAAAGTCTTAATCAATGTACAACTTCTACTCTGCCTCCTGTTGGGAATGCTGCTTTGAAGGAGTGAGTAGGTTCTCCTTGTATTTCTACCCTTTTGTCAAACATGAAAACTCCAATATTTCTTATTTGTTTTCTTGTGTACTATTTTCTTTCCAGCTACAATAATAGAAAATATTCTAACATTATTTCAAGAGTTGCTGCATCCATGAGGGTTTGGTTCCCCGTATCACATCTCCATCTTTCTTTCAACATTATCATTCTCATCCTTAGCTGGTGACTTGTTGAAAGAAACGAGACAATTAGTAGTTAGGAATTGGGAAGCCAAAAGAGAACAGTGGAGTGCAATTGGTTTGGGGAGTAGGTCCTGTGTAGATTCTTCTTGATGCATTGTTGGCTAGTTCCTTTGGAAAAATTATGAAGTCATTGTGTCAGATGAACAGGTAAATATTGCGGATCTATATTTTGTTTCAATTTTCTTTTACTGTGGATACTTTGAAGTCCATGTACAATAATTTTCTTATTTTGAATTCTAGGCTATTAATTAAGTTGTGAGTATTTAATTTCTGATGAAATAATAATCAAAGTATCAAAGTATTCAATAATTTATAACAAAATTGTACATGTGATTGCTCTTTGGTTGAAAAAGGTAAAATTTTGAGAGACAACTAAAACTAAATTTTGGCTACATGTTCAATAGATAAGATTCATTCTTGGTTTTCATTCTTTGGCGTGATTGTCATTCTGCTATTCACTATTAACAAAGGATGTCATTTTGTCCACCTTATGTGCCTCTTTTATACATAGAATGCTTCTGATAACGAAAAGCTAAGACCACTTCTAGGTCAAAGATTTAATTTTTCATGTTATTTTCAAATGCAAAAAAGCTGTTTTCGGAAACATTATAATAATGTTCTTAGTTGTTTTTTACCCGCAAGTCTTGTACAAGGATACATTAACTCCACTTTTTCTATTTGTTCATATTTTATGTAGCCAATTATTACAATGACAGTTCCATTAAAATAGTAGTTTAAACACGCAAAGCTGCAGAAGATATACTCAATTCAAAATCACATTGTTATCCAAACGACCATATGATGCTAGTGTAAGTTCACCAATGACAAATCCTTACACAATTTTTTTAGTATAAAATTCAATCATAAAAACTATGGATAAGGAAAGTAGTTGATAATGAGGTAGTGTAATTTTTCTCTTTTTATTTGTTGTCATTTAGCAAATGCATCCGCAGGTTAGATTTGCAATTGCATAATCAAGGGAAAGATTGTAATCACTTCAGTAAAACTTAAATCTCATTGTTCACTATTCCAAAGGTAATTTTTATTTTTATTACTATTTGATGTATAATAGATGTACTTACATATTTTTCATAATTATTGAACACTTTAGTAGCCATATGTGCACATTCTAGCTTCTGGAATTCCTTGTTCCTACCTTGTAAATTATGGCTTGGTGGTTGTCATCACTGTTGTAGCTTGTCACAAAGCTGAAAGAACGCTGATTAGCAAGTGTACTAGGTAGTTGTAACAAGTAATAAAATTTAGAATTCCTTTTAGTCTCAAGTATCGTTCTCACAGATTAGTTCTATCAATTGCTACTTCACAAATCAATAATTAGTTGAGTTAAACGAAATTTGAAATGTTTTGAATTATTTAACAAATGAAGTAAAAGGTACAATAAAAGCAGAAAATCAAAGTAAAACATAGCTACGAATTTAAAAATGAAATGATGAGTGAATGAAGTTAGGAATGATTTCACCTCTTTATCAATTGAAAAATTGAAGTAGATATGAACTTTAAGTTCCTTAATTGATTGATGATAATTTCACTAGATTAATCAAAGTTCAATTTCTTTACTCATTGATCCTAATATTTAATTAACTACCCTAATTCTTTAGGTGTAAATCTTTCAAACATTGTATTAGGCATTATAAATTATTTATCCCTAAGATATCTATAACCTTGACATTCAATTCAAATATGATAAATTAACTCAACTTCCATTGATGAAAATCCTCTAGGTTCAATTCAATTGAATAGCTAATTAAAAAATTGCATTAAGGATAGAATTAAACGTTGAATACAATCAAGATCTTAAAATTCAGATTCACAATCAATTTACAATATCAAAATCGGATCATTAATCCTTAACAAAAAGAAATCAGAACATGTTCTTAAAAGAAAAAGAGAAAGAAAGAGTAGAAGAGGAGTTGCAGAATTTCTTCATAAATCCAATCCTTAGCTTAATTTCTCAAGGTCTAGAGCTTGGAAGTCGCCTTCAATCTCCTTATCTAGCTCTCCTAAGATGTAGAAATGAAAAAATGATAAAAGATTTCCAATCTGAACTGTCAACTGCTTTTTATAATTTTTCCTGTCTCTCTCCACATTGACACTTTAATCACTGAAACTTGTAACGTAGAAGGCCTTCTAAAAGCTTTTAAGGCTGAAATAAGAACTTTAAACGCTCAAAGTTGACACTTGAAAGTTGTTTTCCAAATTCTGATATTGTGCATTGGTACTTTTAGTGGTTAAAGTTGCTACGCGCAATTGCGCATTGGTACTTTCAGTGGGTAAAGTTGCTATGTGTAAGTCTTTCATGTGATTTTGCTTTGCACATTACCACTTTCAGTACTTAAAGTTGCTATGCACAAGCCTCTTCATATATTTTGCTGTTGGAGTGATAACTTTTAATACTTAAAGTTGTTTCACGTATGTTCTTTATGGATTTTCTTCTTCAAAGTGTTAACTTTAAACACTTAAAGTGTTCACTTTGAACTTCTATAT